TGAAAGGTAATCCATGCAGCTCGTAAGCATTTTATTAATAAATTTGTTTCAGTATTTTGTCTACTGCCCAGAACTCAAAATAAATGTGATTTTCCTAGTTATTCATTTCAACATAAATTTGTCTTTTTTTCTTTTTCATATAATCTATGTAGATTTATTATTTCCAGTTTGTTTATATGAGTCATCATATCATATATCTCAAAGGTCGCTGAGCAAGTGATGGGTCGTTATGAAGTATGTGATCTAATGGAAGTTAATAATAATGTTTTTGTTCCTATAATCGTTCTCTCTAATGTTCTTTAATGAGGTCTGCGTTTACTTCTGGGTTTTAGGAACATAGGACAAACAATGCTGGTGACATCAGGTCCGAGGTTGAAAGTAATGAGATTGGTGTAGAAAATTCTGGGAATAATGGGGCTCTCTCGATTCCTCTAGCTGCATTTGGTTTTGTGACTCGACTAGCGTCAGGAATATTTTCTAGGGGAAGAAAGCACTCGGATGAAGATCTTCAGTCGGATGATTCGATTTTGGACAGAGATCCCAATAGTGAATCGAGCTCACAAAAACCTAATTATACTGAAAGTCAAATTTCTAACCCCATTACCAATTCTAAGGAGGAGGAGGAAAATGATGCTGCTGAGTCCTCTGATTTGCTACAAGTTGCTGAAACTCTTTGCAGCCTGAAACTATCACAGTTGGATACTCCAATGCGTGAAGTATCTATTTCAACATTCAAAGGTTTTGATATTGTTAGAGACCCTGTTGATCATTATTTTCATGGTACACCGGGGCAGGTAAGTAGTGCTACTCGCAATTTACATTACCTCTCAGTATTTGTGTTATTGATTCGATTATGGTCTCTTTTACTTTTCTTCTAAGCTTATGTTTGGTCAAACAAGCTTATAAGTTAGCTTATAGCTTATAAGTGATTTTCGAGCTTAAAGCTTATTGCTTATGACTTGTAGTTGAAAAGCTAGTTTATATGATAAAAGCGTTTGGTAAAATTTCAACGAGTTTATTTAAAAAGTTACCCAAAGAAGCTTACGAGATAAGCTGGAGGTTCTGAAAAAACTCGTCCTACCAATTGAAGCTTATTTGAATACATGAAGCTTATAAGCTAACCAAATAAGCTAAAGCTAGCTTATTTGGTTACGAAACATAGTCTAACTATCTCTTATTTGATGATAAAATCTCTTTTAACTAAGCCTTTTTACGAAATTTACAGAACAATGCTGGCAGGAAGTGGCTCAAGAAAGTTCAGCAGGACTGGGATATTCTTCAAAATAACCTACCTGGTATGAGTCGTGCACTTTCTTAATTTTCGGACATCTTAAGTTCTTAATCATAGTTAGCTTGTTGAATTGTATCAGAAGTTGTCTTGAAAATTTAAGTGCTATTAAACAGAGGGCATATATGTACGTGTCTATGAAGATAGAATGGATCTTTTGAGAGCTGTGATAGTTGGAGCTTATGGGACACCTTATCAGGATGGTCTTTTCTTCTTTGATTTTCTACTTCCACCGGAATATCCAGATGTTCCACCTGTAAGAGAACCTCTGCATTAGTTTTCTACTCCATTTTTTTTTTCTCGAGTACACAAAGTTAACTTTAACTGGTGCAATATCCCCAAGCAATAGAGATATTCTCTTCTCTTGTTCATTAGCAATAGAGGTTAATCAAAATAGAGATATTCTCTTCTCTTGACTTGTTCATTAGCAATAGAGGTTAATCAAACAGAAGCTATTTGACCAAATTACAGAAGTCTCCTGCTATCTTACTAATTTACAAAAAAAAGTACCTTGAACTTTCATCGTGTCACATTTACCCCTTTAATAAGAGAATAAGTTTTCTCTTCGCGATAACAAAGAATATGACAATTAATTCCTTCATTTTACAACTGGCTCAAACCTCGAGTCAGATTTTGTAACTTTGGAATAGCTTAAAGTTGGAGTGTTTTTGTAATCATAGACAAATCTCAATGACGCCTTTTGTCATCATCCCTCACATATTCCCTTATTGAAGGTGCATCTTGTGAAATTGATACAATAATCGACCTATATGTCGTTTGATTTGCCTTCTTTTTTTCTTTATTGTGTGCGTGTGTGATTAAATATTCTTTCTTATTGCAAGCTCTATTTTCCATCACTCTTTTATCTCCTTTAATTTTCTGTTAGCTTTATATGTTACTATTCAATTAACTGTTTTTTTTTTCCATGTTTACAGTCAGCATACTATCACTCTGGAGGGTGGCGAATAAATCCGAACTTATACGAAGAAGGGAAAGTTTGCCTCAGTTTGTTGAATACCTGGACAGGTCGAGGAAATGAAGTTTGGGATCCTTCAACCTCAAGCATTCTTCAAGTGCTCGTTTCCCTTCAGGGACTGGTATTAAATGCCAAGCCATATTTCAACGAAGCTGGATATGATAAACAAGTTGGGACAGCAGAAGGGGAGAAAAATTCTTTATCGTACAATGAGAACACATTCTTACTGAACTGCAAGACGATGATGTATCTAATGCGAAAGCCCCCAAAGGTTAGCAAAATAACGACTGTAACCTTTCCACCCTAGCTTTCTTTCTTTTATTTTATATCGACTGGTAGTAATGTTGTTGTACTTATTGTTGTTATTAATTGTTATTAACTAACTTGACATCAGTAAAGTTTCCTTAATTGATAATAAATCAACGATGAACTCGGATATTGAATATTTATTTATTATGCCAATTTTTCCCCCAAATTAATGCGAGACTGACGAGTGACGGTGAGTAGAAGTATCCATAGATCCCAATAACATCTGTCGAATAGTAAAAAGAGTTGGTAGATTTCTGTTGGAGCAAATAACCTTTTTGCCTACATGTATAACAACTCAAATTTTACTTGCAGGACTTTGAAGAGCTTGTCATGGAGCATTTCAAGAAGCAGGGCTACTATATTCTGAAGGCATGTGATGCCTATATGAAGGGTCATTTGATTGGTTCTCTCACAAAAGATGCTTCCATAAGTGATGGTAATGCTAACTCGAATTCAGTCGGTTTCAAGCTAATGCTCGGCAAAGTTGTGCCGAGACTTTTTGCTGCATTGAAGGATATTGGTGCTGATTGCCAGGAATTTGAGCATTTGAATCAGATTCAGTCGTGAGAATGAACATTAATTGGACCGTGTGAGCATTTCAGGTAAAAAAAAAAAAAAAAAA